TCACTCTGTCACCAGGCTGGAGTGCAGTGGTGCAATCTCAGCTCACTGCAATCTCCACCTCCTGGGTTCAAGCGATTCTCCTGCCTCAGCCTCCCGAGTAGCTGGGACTACAGGCACGCACCACCAAGCCCAGCTAATTTTTGCATTTTTAGTAGAGACGGGGTTTCACCATGTTGGTCAGGATGGTCTCAATCGCTTGATCTCATGATCCGCCTGCCTCGGCCTCCGAAAGTACTGGGATTACAGACGTGGGCCACCGTGCCCAGCCCTTCAGATTTCTTATAATTACCTGCGAATAATGAGTCAAATGATCTGAAAAATGTACTTCTCTTTATGTGTGTGTTTACTGCCCACTAGACTGAGTTGCTGGTATCCCCGAACTCACCCCAGAATACAGCACATAGTGAGTGTACAATGTAGATGTCTGTGGAATAAATGAGTGCGTGAATTAATAAATACGTGGCTGGGGGCTTGGGACCCTAAGATATCCTTCTCAGGACTCTGCTATCTTTGCTTCTTTATTTCCAGGACTGGTGAAACAAGGTGGTGTCAAGATAGAGCCGCTTCCCAAGGAAGTGAAAGTCTACCTCCTGACCACTTCTAGTGCTCCATACTGCAGTGAGTAGGGGGAAATGCATGAGCTTAGCTCTGCCAGGGTGCCGCCCAAGGAGTCCAGGGCTCGGGCTTGGGCTGTGCCCAGCTCAGTATGGTAGGCTGGGTGGGAGTGAACAACAAGGGCAAAGGTATCACTGGAGGTGGGGCAACAGTCCCTGGTCTGAACCAAAACTTTCAGAGTGAGTCCAACCGGTTGCTCTTCAGATGAAGACTTGGGGGCTTCTTACTGTTATCTACTGATCCTATTTCCTCCTACCTCAAAATTTATCCTCCAGTGGGCCTTCTCTCTAGAGTGGCATTTAGGGTTGTCCTTTGGCCACCTCCTTTCTGCACTCCCATCTCTCAATCCTTGGCGCCCACCTTATGTGGTTCTCACCCTGGCAGCCTCCAAGGTCCCTGGGGAATACCAAACCTTTCCCTCTGCTGTCCTTCCCCTTCACAGGTGCATTCCAGCTTCTCACTGTCGTTCCTAACCACCACATTTCTTTGAAGTGAAGATGCCGGTGATTGTAACAATGTTAAATGGGAATGAAAAATGTGTCTTAGAATCCATGAAATACATTACAAACTGAACCATCATCCTTCCCTAAGCTATGTGCATCTTAACGAGGGTGACTATACTTCCTGGTTTATGCCAGATGTCCTGGGGTCCTGTCTGCTTTATCATGGGTATAGGATGAAGTGTGCTGGTTTAGATGATAAATTATATGCCACCAATTTTAACTGATTTTCTGATCAGCTTGTGTCGGGTCAGTGGAGGGATCTTTGTGACAACATCTTCCTGGTACTAGAAGGCCTGGTACCTGGTACCATGTGTGATATGGAGCCCAGAGCTCAGACTCTGTGCTCACCCAGACCTGGATTCGAATCTCAGCCTCTCCACTTACCAGCTGTATGATCAGGAGCAAGTTATTTAACCTCTCTGAACTCTATATCCTCATGTAGAAATGGGAACCATAACAGTACCTACTTCAAAGAATCAACTGTGAGTATAAAATAAAATAGCACACAGCTGATCACTAGCACAGGGACTGGAACCCAATCAGTAATAATTTCCTTCCCTTAGTCAATTAGAGAATTTGGGAGAAGAATAGTTAGGGTGTTTCTTCCTTCATGCCAGAGAAAATTTATGGCTAGCTCTTAGGAACAAAGTGGGCTACAGAATCAACTGTGGGCTTTTCACATCCATATCAGCTCATTTGACAACCCAACTGGGAGAGGCAGGTGCAAGGAAAGGGAAGCTCTGATAGACCAAGTGGCATGCCCAAGGCTCCACAGCTGGGTGAAAAGGTCAAAACTCAACTCCAGGTCTTCTGACTCCAAAATCTATACTCCTTCCTTGCCGCCACCATGGTTCCACCTTCTGAGAACCTGCTGTCTGCAGGCCATATTTCTCTGCTTTCCTTCTGTCAGCGCCACCCCATCAAAGAGTCAGCATGCAGGAGGGGGTTTTGTCTGGTGGTTGAGGTAGTGCTGCCAAGACTAGACATCTTGACTTCGAATTCCAGCTGCTGGAATAGGTCCACTCCTGGTTAAGGTCCCTCCCCATCACCAAAGGAGCCTGGGAAAAATTTCTGAGACTAAAGTGATTGCAAAATGCCACCAGGTGCACCTACCCCTTAATAAAGAAAGGACAGTGTGTTAGGGAAACTGTAACCTGAACTGGGCAGGTTCACAGCAACCTGAACTGGCACCTCTGTGTTTGTGCAGCTAAGAATACACCTAGCAAGAACGTGTGGGGAATGCCTGGAGGTTAAAAGCAGGTTAACGTCCCTGCCAAGAAGATTCACAGAGCCATACTTTTTCTGACTGTTTCATATTTGCTCTGAGCCCCACCTCTCCACGCTCCCAGAAGCATAGCCCTGTTTGTTCCAACACCACAGAGGGGCACAGAAACAGGCCTGGCTGCCTGCAGGCTCTGCCCTGAGCTGTCACTTCTAGGGATGGAAGCTGGCTCCTCCCTGCTCTCCCTGGACAGATATGGGTATGTTCAAGAACAGGTAGGGGCCAGCAGCTTTCCAGCCACTCTCAGGCCATCATGGCCCTGGCTCCCATGCCTGGCACCCTGTGCCTGCTTTGACTTCAGCAATGCTGACCTGTGCCGAGCATGCACCAGCATGAGCAGAGGATCTTCTACCAAATAATATTTTTTAAACAATATTTTCCCTCATAGAATGGCTTTTCACACAGCGTATCTTCTATTACTTCACTCTATCCTTACCGTGTCCTGTGTGATAATGTTGGGGACTATTGCTTGCAGATGAGGGAACTGGGGCACGGAGAGGTTCAGTGTCTCAGGCAAGATAGCATGGCTTGTAAGCAGCAGGCTTGAGCCTTGGATCCAGGCCTCCTGACCAGCCACCCAGGACTCTGTGTTGTACGATATGAGACATGCTCCTGTGCAGATTTGATTTCACTACCAATTTCCACTCACCCAACATTAGGCCTGGCTCCCTTGAGGGCTCCAGGGTAACTTAGCAAGGGAAGAAGCAGGCCAGGCGCAGTGGCTCATGTCAGTGATCCCAGCACTTTGGGAGGCCAAGGTGGGAGGATCGCTTGATGACAGGAGTTTGAAACGAGCCTGGGTAACATAGTGAGACCCTGACTCTACAAAAGTTGTTTACAATTAGCCAGGCATGATGGTGCTCACCTGTAGTTCTCACTACTAGGGAGGCTGAGGTGAGAAAATTGGTTGAGCCTAGGAGTTCAAGGTACAGTGAGCTGATTATGCCATTGTATTCCTGCCTGGGCAACAGAGCAAGAACCTGTTTTTTTGTTTTGTTTTTTTCATTCATGAAATATTTATTAAAATAACACATTTAGGGAAAAAAATCAATACAATGTATACATCATTACTAAAAACTGTATACCATCATACAAAAAAGGATTTTATTTTGGGAAACTGTTTTCTAATTTATGGCAAGTTTTATTTTCAGAAATAAAACCACAAAACAACACAATCTAATTTAATCTTAAAGGCTGGCATGAGGAGCAAGGAACGTTCTTATTCTTTGTAGAAGCTCATTCTTTACACTGTCAGGTACCAGGGCTCTGCGTTTTGGAGTGATTTCAGCCACCAAGTCATCAACAGTAACGTGTTCTAGTCCTTTTTCTTTAATTACCTATTTACAGTGTGACCTCAACTGACTCTTCCAACCGCATTCAATTAATTTAGCTCTTGGCAACTCTTTCAGGTGTTCCCTTTCTCCAGTTTCTATCAACTTTTGGTTAATTGCTGCTCTCATCTGCACATCTTTGTTCATCTTGCTAACTACCATCACTGCGGGCAAGGGCCATCCCTTCCTAGCGACGAAATGACCCTTGCACGGACGACCGTTACCTACCACAGAATCTTAGAAAACTTTCTTAATGATACCTGCTAGCAAAGAAAGAAGTATTCATAATAAAATATATGGAACTCAGCCCTGATAATTAAATTCCAAAAGCTTATGTAAGTTAGCTTTTTTTTTCCACATTACAAATATCATCCATTCCAGTTCAGCTCTTGCCCATCCCCATAACAATTGATATCCCATAGTAACAACTGAGAAGGAGAGACAGAGGGGTGTGGTGTCTGATGTCCTCCTCCGTGGAGGGGAAGCATGCAAGGCTCTTTTCTTCTCGTGGGTTCTTGGCATCTTGGCACCTTTTGGTGAGCCCTGTTACTAGCCCCAGGGAGCCCAGATGGGCCATAGCACTCCTCCAACTTAGTGCTCAGTTCACCTGCATCAAGTTTATGCTCCCCTCCCCAAAATTAGTCCATAAAATATGACAAATGAAGACATACAGGTAGAGGAGAGGCGAAGGTCTGCATCTCTAGCTATGTCCTCATCACCAAAGGAGCCTGGGAAAAATTTTCTGAGACTAAAGTGATTGCCAAATGCCACCAGGTGCACCTACCCCTTAATAAAGAAAGGACAGTGTGTTAGGGAAACTGTAAGCTTTCTTTTCTTAAAACTTTTTTTTGAGACAGTCTTACTCTATCGCCCAGGCGGGAGTGCAGTGGCGCCACCTCGGCTCACCGCAACCTCTGCCTCTTGGGTTCAAGCAATTATCCTGCCTCAGCCTCCTGAGTAGCTGGGATTACAGGCACCCGCTACCATGCCAGGCTAATTTTTTGTATTTTTAGTAGAGACAGGATTTTACCATGTCGGCCCGGCTGATCTTGAACTTCTAACCTCAGGTGATCTGCCCGCTTCAGATTCCCAAAGTGCTGGGATTATAGGTGTGAGCCACCGCGCCTGGCTTTTCTTAAATTTTTAATTGTTCTTTTTTTGAGACAGGGTCTCCCACTGTCACCCAGGCTGGAGTGTGGTGGCACAGTCATGGTATACTGCAGCCACAACCTCCTCAGCTCAGGTGATCCTCCCACTTCAGCCTCTCAAGTAGCTAGGACTATAGGCACACACCACATGCCTGGCTAATTTTTTGTTTTTGTTTTTTTGTAAAGACGGGGTCTTGCCACGTTGTCCAGACTGGACTTGAACTCCTGGGCTCAAGCAATCTGCCCACCTCAACCTCCCAAAGTACTAGGATTTCAAGCATCTCTCACCATGCCTGGTCTGTAATCTTTCTTACCTTCTCTTGCCAGAGGGACAGCAGGTCCCAGGGTTATCACCGTGGTGTGGGCTGTACACCCAGTCTATGTTGGCGACATTCACTTTGAGAGCTCCAGCATCCACACTGCTCAAGGGAGAGTCCGGATGCCACATAGGCAAACAGAGACTGCAGGGAAGGGAGCAGTCTCCTACACACACAGCCTGCTTCCCTGACGCTGGGTGTGTGGGGAGCAGTGCCATTGCTATATCTTACGAGTTAATTCTTTTTTGGTTGTTTCTGAGGCAGAGTTTTACTCTTGTCGTCCAGGCTGGAGTGCAAGGGCACCATCTCAGTTCACTGCAACCTCTGCCTCCCAGGTTCAGGTGATTTCCTGCCTCAGCCTCCTAAATAGCTGGGATTACAGGTGCCTGCCACCATGTCTGGCTAAATTTTATATTTTTAGTAGAGACGGGGTTTCACCATGTTGGCCAGGCTGGTCTCAAACTCCTGACCTCAGGTGATCCGCCCACCTCCCTAAGTGTTAGAATTACAGGCATGAGTCCCAAAGTGCTGGGATCACTGTGCCCAGCCTTAGGACTTAATTCTTTAGTTTATGTCTTAGTCTCTTTGTGCTACTATGACACAGCACCTGAGACTGGGTAACTTACAAAACTCGGAAATCTATTTTCCCACAGTTCTGGAGGCTGGGAAGTCCCAGATGAAGGTGCTGGCATTCCATGTCTGTGAGGGTTGCACTCTCTGCTTCCAAGAAGGTGCTTTGCTGTTGCGTTCCCCAGAGGGGACAGACACTGTGTTCACACACAGTTCACACACAGCAGAAAGTAAAAAAGGGCCTGCCTAGTTCCCTTGAGCCCTTCTATAAGGCACTATTTCGTTCATGATGGTAGAGCCTTCATGACTTAATCCCTTCCCCCAAAGGCCCCACATCTCAATACTGCTGCACAGAGCATTCAGTTTAAACATGAATCTGGAGAGGACACAAACATTCAAAGGATAGCTGCATATGACAGACGCTTTTTGGCTCAGATCATCCCACTATGAAAATGTCACCAAACAAGGGGAAGTGAAACATTAGAATTATTAAATAACAAAAACTAACGTTACTGAAGGCTTCCTAGGCACAGGCACTGTCCTGAGGACTTCATACCTATTAACCCATTTATTTCAGACCTCTAGTGTGTCTATTTTTATTGTCCCCAGTTTACACTTGGGAAACCTGAGGATCTGAGATTATAAATAATCTGCTACTGGGCACACGGCTACTAAGAGACGGAGCCAAGATTCCCAACCTCACTGCTGCTTTCTGTGCCTTCTGCCCTTGGGCCCAGTCTCTGTTGTGCTTTGGTTTCCTAGCACATCACAACCTGGTGGAGTTTCACATGAAGGAACTGAGAAACAAGGACACCAACATCGAGGTTACCTTCCTTAGCTGTAACGTCACTTCCTCGGTTATGATCACCATGTACGTAAGTGTCCCACCTGGCTGACCCCTCCCCTTAGGAGTCGGTTACCTTTACATTTGACACACATGGACATCCCAGGTCAGGTACTGTGTGATTGCTGATGCATGAGCCCAGCTGGCTGGGCTGGGGGTAGCACCTACTGTAGATCCAGCCACAGGCACATACTGGGAGCTGCTCAGCAGTAGGTCTAAGCATAGCAAATTCAGATGAGAGCAGGCAGGGCAGGCAGGCAGCAGGAATGGCATGTCCCAGCAGGTGGAGAGGACATAGGAATCAGGTCCCTGAGAGGAAACAGCACTCGGGAATCCAGGCAGTATAAGTATCAGGGATGTCAGTAGGCAGGAGGGCCTCAGTCACTAGCCCAGGGAGGGCTAGCCAAAGCCTGGAGAGCACCCAGACCTGGGAAAGGGGAGCAGTGCTAGGTCAGTTACCAGAACAGAATCCGAGGCACAGGGTCAGTCAGCAAACGAGCGCGAGCGGAGGGCCAGACTAGTGGCCAGGAGGGCTTGATGCTGGGTGATTCCTGGAACTGGGGCTAATCATTCCCTTCCCAAAAAAAGAGTTGAGCTTAGGGACTGTTGGGACCACGCTTGAAGTAAGAGGGCAAAGAACCCCAACTGTAGGGAGCCACAGACTGCAGGGGATAGGAAGTCAGCAGCCATGGTGCATGCTTCTTTAAAAAGCAGCTGGTTACTTATTCACAAGCTAGCGGGAGGTACTGTCAGATAATGTCACTGTCTCAGTCAGGGTCCAGTCAGGAAAACAGAGATGGTCCAAGAGAAGGAATTTAGCAGAGCGTACTCATTACAGGTGTGTTGGATAAGCCAGAAAGCTGCAAGAGAGATGAGGAAGCAATGCAGCGATTACTCACAACAGGAGCAATGAGCCACTACCGCCCTAGGGCTAGAGGGACAGAGCAGGGATGATACTGGAAAAGCTGGGTCCACAGGGTAGGCTGCTTGGCAGGAGCTGAACCCATGGGAACTGCAGTCCTGGAATCCCTGTCCAAAGCAGCTGCCCACCTGAGCTTGCTTCCACTGGATTAGACCTCGCTGGAACCTGCTGGTGGGGGAAACTGCAGGGGAATAGATCAATCCAGAGCAAACAGAGAAATGACCAGTGCACGGACATGTAAATGTGTGAACAATGCCCTAAGAGTGACAGCATAGAAGATGGAGCCTGACAGAGGCTAAGGATATGATGAGCAGAGATTTCAAGGCTTTCCAGGAACTACCCAGGCCGGGTTTAGGGAGAATGTGACACCTCTGGTGTGTCTGGATCACAGATTTGGGGTTGTGGGAATGGTGTGAGGCTGGAGAGGCAAGTCGGGGCCAGACTCTGCCAGGCCTTGAAGGACAGGTTTTTATTCTGAGAGTAGTTTGGAGGGCCACTGGGAGTTTTAAACAGGACAGTGATGAGATCAGATGTGAGTTTGGAGATATTTCTCAGGCTGGGATGTCGGACATAAACTCTGTTAGGAGGCACTACAAGTTTCTGCTGGAAGAGCGCACTTCTTCACTCTCAAACCCCTGGCCACTAGCTGGGGTTCCTCCCTACTCACCCAAGGTCACTCAGCTAGGTACAGCCGTTGGGATTGCAACACAGGCCTGCAGGTGCCCGCGGGGCCTGGCAGATTTGTGACTGGTTATCAATTAGCAGAGTACCTTTCATTAGACCAGCTCAAGGTTGTGCTACTTCTAGAAAGTCGTTTTCATAATCTTCTAGCCCATTGGTAGGTCCGTCAACACTGGCAAGAGTCATGAAAATGACCCACAACCCTGGCTGCGTGTTAAAATCACCTGGAGAGCTTTAAAAAATAGACACCAGCTGGGCACAGTGGCTCATGCCTGTAATCCCAGCACTTTGGGAGGCTGAGATGAGCGGATTACCTGAGGTGAGAGTTCGAGACCAGCCTGATCAACATGGAGACTATTTTGTATTATTAGTCTCTACTAATAATACAAAAACTAGCTGAGCATAGTGGCAGACACCTGTAATCCCAGTTACTCAGGAGGCTGAGACACAAGAATCGCTTGAACCTGGGAGACGGAGGTTGCGGTGAGCTGAGACTGTGCCATTGCATTCCAGCCTAGGCAAGAAGAGAGAAACTCCGTCCAAAACAAAACAAAGCTAAACTAAACTGACTCCAACCACCCCCCCAACACACACACACAACCCCAGGGCTGTGCAGTGCCACCCTGTTGGGCGCCCTCCCTGATCCCCCACTCAACACCCTCAGGCTCTGCTGGCTGGACTGTGCCTTGCACCCAGCATGAAGACTTTCCTCACTGAAAATCTCATGATTTTTTGCTTTTGTCTTGGGTACTTAGTACCGAGGGGGTACCACAGCCCTTTGGAAAGCACCCTGCTAGGCTGATCATTTCATGCTCCCCACTCATCTTTGTCTCATTCCAAGGTGGTGCCTGAATCTTTAAACAGATGGGGAATCTGAGAGGCAAAGCCAAGAGGGAGGATTAAGAGAGAACTGGATGCTGTTTTCACTCTGAGCCTCCTAGGCTGAAATCAGCATGAACCAAACCCTGTGGTTCAAGTTCATAGCAGCATGTAGGAAAGCTGGGACTTACACCTAGTTGCTATGTGACTCCACAGCCACCTTTCCAGGTTAGGTAACTCATCCAAAGCCATACAGCTGGAAAGACAAAACCTGGGTTCCACGCAGCTCTGTCTGTGCTTCATGATCTGTTTTCTTGTTGCTGCTGTTTCCACCCACACATTCAAACCTAGCCTAAAACAAAGTAGTTCTTACACATAATTCTTTGAAAAGAAATGTGGTAAAAGAGGTTTCTATTTCTGGGTAATTGGATCTGAAAGTGAAGGTCTCCTCCAGCTGGGAATCCAAGAATGAGGAACAGTTTTTCCAGATATGAAAATCCAAGAGTGACTATTTTGCTGCAGTTGTCCACTTGTTCACTCTAAAAAATCAACAATTACTTTCTTGGTCATATTCAAAGTTGTAGGTGTGGGGCAGAGGGGCTGGTGAGGGTGACACAAAGGACTGTGGTAAGGAACCAACCCCCTGGTGCTTGACAGCCAACCAGTGCCACCAGCAGAGCCCCATCAGAGCCAAAATGGAAGTACAGGCAGTAAGTGCGGCAGTCATTTACTTTCCCTATCCCCTTTTCTTGCAGTCCTAAGCAGCAATGGCAGGGGAAAGGAATCATAGCCCATGCCACCCCACAGTGCCAGGTAAACCAAGTGAAATTCAAGTTGCAGTCTTCCAGTCGAGTTTGGAAACAAGACTGGACTACCATTGTTGGGAAGTTCTGCACTGCTCCTTTGCCTGTCCATGACAGGTAAGCCCCAGTATCCACCTCCGCCCCAGACACACACACACATCAAGGATCAATCCTGGCCATAGACGTGCTGCCTGTTGAGGTTCAATCCCGTGATGGTGATTATCATCTTAGAGGCAGAGATGATAGAGTTTTCCAGAACCTCCTGTGGGACCATCTTGGGTTGAGGAATCTCCACCGTATTTATTCCACATATTTGGTTTCTATGTAAGATTTTATTAGAACAAAGTTTTCTCATTGCATATTTTTTCCTCCATGTCCTCCACTCCAAACGTATCATGGGTCACATTCATGGGTGTGGATCCAGAATTCACATCCCCTTTCCCTTCCTCTAAAGGCATTTATGTCATCAGCCTTACCATCCCTGGGCACTTGGACCACTGGAACTGGCTTTTAATTGTAGGTGGTTGCAGATTTCTTTCACCAGACATCATGGGAACTCAAAAGCCACATAATGCCAAGCCTGTCTCCTGACCAACCAAGAACCTGCTCTCTTATTGCTCTTCTCTTACAGGGAAAAGACGTTCTGTTTACCTGAACCAGTGAACTTACGAGCAAGTGTGACTGTTTCTTGTAATCTGAAGATAGACTGTGTATAGTTTAACCTGGGCAAGATACATGTCCCTGCATTTTTTCTCTGAGGGAGCTCTGATGAGGGATGTGTGCGTGCGGCCTATTGTAGACCATTACTACTAAGGAGAAAGGCAAAGCTCTTTCTTATTTTCCCCATAATTAGCTATCCTGGAGGGGAGGAAGAACTCATTTGACAGAACTTGGTTTCCATTGCTCATCTTCTGTACATACCCATTTGAGCTTTCCTATGCATACTTAATTACAGTTTCTTCATCTCCTTGGGCATCTGTACTTAGGATTCAGTAGAAACATTTATAGAATAAAGAATTTTTTAAGAATAAAACTTCATGGAGTACCTGAATCATTTAATTGTTTTACTTGAATGGAATTCTGTTACCTATAAAAAGTTGCGATTAATACTCTGTGGGATTGGAAAAAACAATATTGCATCATCTCTATTAAAATAGCAACTGAAAGAAGTATTTGGAAGAAGAGAGGGATGAAGGGTGGGGAGGAAGACTGCACCGTTTACCAACCCTGACCATTACCTCCTCTGGCTATCTGGAAGGTTTGAGAGATCAGAGAGATCTTGGGGAATACAGGTAGATTTCCTCTGGATTAATGTTTCCCTAATTTTGATCTTTGTAAATAAGCTTATATCAGCCACATCCCAGCAAAAAACAGATGGTGCGCTCAGTCTGGGTTATTTGAGAAGAATTTAACAAAAGGGCTATTTGCGATAGTATTTCGTGGGGAAACTACAGGGATAATGCAGTTCCCTGAAGCTAGTGGCAGTAGAAACTGTTACTACCCTCGCCCTGAAGAGGCCAGAGAAGGAGGGGAAGCACCAGGGGCTGCAGACCTGCCGTGGAGGGACACAGCCAGCAAGCAGCAACCCCGAAGGGAGGGAGCAGGAGCACAGATTCTCTGACTCCACTCTTCCTCCTCCCCCACTTTCCTGCTTGTGCTCTCCATTAAGGACCCCCAACAGAAGCCAGAGGGCAAATAACACATTGGCATGACATCAACAGGCCCAGGGCATAGAGCAGGGCAGAAAAGGGTGGAGAGAGGATGGAAAGTGGGTGGAGAACTAATAGAAATGGCACAAGCCTTCACCACCTTCACAAACCCCCCTGGTTTCTTTTATTTTTTAAATTCACTTTTTAAAAAACATAAATAAATGTGCTTTAAAAGGAAACTGCTGACTTGCAGATTCACTCTCCACAATAAAGACCAGGAGAATGATGTAAGCAACAGGCCAAATCAGCCAGGGCACCAGGAGACAGAGCTTCAGGCTTCGTCCAGGCCTTGGAAATGCAACCAAAAGGACAGGTGAGGCTCACAAAGATGCTTAACTGTCTGCATGATCGCAGTCATGTCTAAAGAATGCACATGTTCCCTACTAGGTAGGCTTGCAATTTTCTATTTTCCCTTAAACCAAAAACGCTTCTTTCCTTTACTCCTTCTCTTTATTCCACCAAGGTTCCTCTCTAGCTGTATTACCCAGCTCTTATCCTGAGCTATGTTACACTGCGCTTCCATTTGCCATCCTGGGAGACACTGCTTAGCAAATACTTCTTCCTTAGTTTTTCCTACTGCTTGTTGCTTTTTCTTCCAAATGTGTATTACATTTCTGTGATGAAAATCATATTGCGGGCCAGGCACGGTGGCTCATGCCTGTAATACCAGCCCTTCGGGAGGCCAAGGCACTTGAGGTCAGGAGTTGAAGACCAGTCTAGCCAACATGGTGAAATCCTGTCTCTATTAAAAATACACACACACACACACACAAAACTTAGCTGGAAATTAGCCAGGTGTGGTGGCACACACCTGTAATCCCAGGTACTCAGGAGACTGAGGCAGGAGAATCACTTGAACCCAGGAGGCAGAGGTTGCAGTGAGCTGAGATCGTGCCACTGCACTTCAGCTTGGGAGACAGAGTGAGACTCAGTCTCAAAAAAAAAAAAAGAAAGAAAATTATACTTTGTGATGCTGATGCTAACTGGTGTTAAACTGACCCAATCTGTTTTTCAGTGGCCTCACACTTTCCATTCTGCTTTTGACCATAGCCCTGTGTTTTGTTGCTAACATTTTCTTATTTTTAAACACCGTTAGACTCTCTCACATGTTATTTTGCTCCCAGTCAGAAACTTTGGATTATTACCTTACATGGAAAAACCAGTTTCTCTATTCATAAATTAATCCTAGAAACAAATACAATGAGACCATTATAGTGTTTAACATTCTAACTGGACACTATGGTCTGATGCAGGCTCAAAGCTCTGGCCTGTTTTTTCCTGTTTTTTTTTTTTTTTTTTTTTTTTTTTTAGGCAACTTTTTTTTTTTATTAAAAAGGAAAAATTTACAAGTATGTGAGAGTTGTTAAAAATGTATCAACACTGAGTGGAGACTTTTTTAATATGTAATCAGTGGATGGAAAGAATATAAAACACGTGTAACTGTCTATGAGATGGAATGTTGTTTAATGCTGGGTCCATGTGGTACCTAAAATCATCCAGGTCCACACTTTGGGAAACGCGACTTTAAGTAGTGGGGGATGTCTTTGGGGTTAGGAAAAAGGGAGAGCTAACACAGAACTCTGCTCCATGGCAGAGCAAAAGCAGAGCTTGGGCCTCCCTTCCACACCCACTTTGCTCACTCTGCTGCAGTCTTTTCATGAACAGAGACTATTACAGAACTAATTCAGTTCAACAGGCAGATTCACCACCAAATGCAAGATACACTGCAGAAAGATACAGAGCCATGTGACCTTGGAATAGCCATGCAACAAAAACATCCAACATTGCACAGCTTTCTACTATGTTCCAGGCACTGTTCTGAGTGTTTCATATGTATTAACATATTTTAACCTCTCAGCGAGCCTATGAAATACATGCTATTATTATCCCACTTTACAGATAAAGCAACCAAGAGGCTGAGGAACTTTTGAGACCACAGGTCTAGTAAGTAAAGGAGCCATGATTCAAATGCCAGCTCCGGCCCCAGAGTCAGGTGATTCCTCACCACTCTAGCCAGACTCAGAAACACAATGGAGAAGTCCTGCCTATAGGTCCACGATGCAGCACTGTGGGACTGGCTACATAATTTGCAGGATCCAATGCAAAACAAAAATACAGGCTCCTAATTCAAAAAGTTGAGAATGGTGACAGGAGAGCATGAAACTAAGTGTGGGGCCTGCATGGTGCCGTGTCCAGTGTACAGGTCGCATGCCCAGTGCAGCTGACTGTGAAACAGACAAATTTCAGTTGACTAAGGGAGAAGGTTGTAAAGGATGAAAAAAAGGTTGTAAGGGGTGCTAGTGTTTCTTACAGAAAATATTCAGACCTGGCCAGGTGCTGCGGCTCATGCCTGTAATCCCAACACTTTGGGAGGCCAAGGCAGGCAGATCACCTGTCAGGAGTTTGAGACCAGCTTGGTCAACATAGTGAAATCCTGTCTCTATTAAAAATACAAAAAATTAGCTGGGTGTGGTGGCGGGTGCCTGTAATCCCAGTTACTTGGGAGTCTGAGGCAGGAGAATCCCTTGAACTTGGAAGGTGGAGGTTGCAGTGAGCCGAGACTATGCCGTTGCACTCCAGCCTCAGCAAAAAGAGTGAAACTTTGTCTCAAAAAAAAGAAAAGAAAAGAAAAGATTCAGACCCCAGGGCACATTCCTCTATTAACCATCACTAAATTTTCAGATGAATGATGTTTAAGATTCCTCTGCCCTTTCTACACTAGAGGTTGTGGGAGCTTGGTTCTCACTGACACAGTTTGGTGACAGGTAGGAGAGAGCCCATCTTCAGCAGCATTTTGGAATGCTGTCCTCAACATCTGGAGCACAAGATGCCAGGGAGAGAATGGGATGGGTTGATGAGGGAGAAAATGACTTCCCATCCTCTTTCAAAGTCTGATGATCCACACTTTGAGAACAGACGTAGGAAAGACCTTCCACTCCTCTCACAGCTGGTGTCCTACAGCTGTGAGATTTTCTAGTGACTGCAGAGTGGTTAACAGCAAAGGGGACAGGTGTGCTCACTCTGAATAGCAGGGCTGGCTGCATCAACGGAAGGAGAAAAAGGTGAAGCAGAAGGACAGGGGAGAGGTGAGAAGAGATGGAAGCATGGATGGAGTTGACTGCAGTCAGATAAACAGTTTGGCACACAACCCCAGTGCTCCATAAAGTCCTATGCAGACTCCGTGAATTCACAATAGTTTCCCTTGTCAGCAGCTCACAAACTTGTGCCTTGATTACAATATTCTCATGAAAAATCAAGCCCTTGGCCAGCAGGGACTTTGTCTTGTGTATTGTTGTACTCCAAGTACCTAGCATACAGTAGGTTCGCAAATATTTGTTAGAAAATGAATAAATAAGTGGTTCTAGAAAGTATTTTCACAACTATGGCTTAATCATTGGCAGAATTCACCAGTGAAGCCATCTCAGCATTGGCTTTTCTTTCGTTTTTCAGTAATTTAGTGTCTTCACTTGTTGCAAATATATTTAGATTTTCTTTTTCTCTTGAGTCAATTTCAGTAATTTGTACCTTTCTAGGAATTGTCCGTTTTATTTATCTAGTTTGTTGGTACACAATTGTTTGTGATATTCTCTTATAATTCTTTTCATTTCTATAAGATCAGTAATGATGTCTCCTCTCTTATTCCTGATTTTAATAGTTTAAGTCTTCTCTCTTTTTTCTTGGTAAGTCTAGCTAAAGATTTGACAATTTCATTGATCTTTTCAAAGAACCAACTTTGGTTTTCTATTCTCTAGTGTGATAGTTGCTACTCTAATCTTTATTGTCTTTCTCGATCAGATATGATTCCACATCATTTTTAAAAACAGCAAAAGCCACAAATCTGCCTTGACTCTTTTGTTTTTGCTTCTGCTCTGTCAATCTTCCTTGAGGCAGCAGATCTTTCATCACCTACTGCCCAAAAAGAATAGAGTCATAGGGTCACAGACAATTCTCAGAAAAAATTACATTGATTAACATATCAAAATGATATTCTGCTGCATATGTTTAACTTATCTTCACTCTTGGATCACAAAGATCTATTTCAGAGACAAATTTGGAGTGGAATTTTCCTTAACATTATCCTCAACAGAATCTGAAGTATAGAATATACTCATTTTCTCACTCGGATCCTGAGACCTCAATGGTTGTTTACCAGATATCCTCCCTTGGAATTCCTAAAGGAACACCATTGTCTTAAAAATCATATTCCTCAGGTCAGAAGTGCTCTGGTACATTCCTCAACCCCTGGGCGAGTGAATGTTACCACCTGCAATCCATTTTCTGTCAGATCAGCTGTGGCGTTAGATTCTAGGAGTGTGAGCCCTATTGTGATCTGTGCATGCAA